TAATTTTTTGATTTCTCGTAGCGATGAGGTCTCGCCAAGCTGCCCGGGCGGGTCTCGAACCGCGGGCTCAGGCAATCCACTCGCCTCGGCCTCCCAAAATACTGGGATTACAGGCTGAGCCACTGAGCCCGACCCAGAAGAAGACTTTCAAAGGGTGAATGTGGAAGCATGGCAAAGAAAATCTACTGAGTTGGGTTTTGGCTTGCTTCTGCAGGAACCCAGGGTGCTGGAGCAGCCACCATCTATCTAATGGCTTCCCAGCTAATTTATTTCCTTTCCTTTTTTTTGGAGACAGGATTTCACCAAGTTGCCCAGGTTGGTCTTAAACCTCTGGCTTCCAGCTATCCTTCCTTGGCCTCCCAAAGTGCTGAGATTACAGGCATGAGCCACTGTGCCTGGCCCCAATTAATTATTTTAATACCATAAAATAACATATAACATGTTGCAAAATTAAGCTTTCTGAAACATTCCAAATAAAAAACAAATTATTAGAGTACTTAGAATTCTATTTGTGGGTTAAAATAGTCTATGTTTTATGTTATATATTTACATATATTTATTTATTTATATTATTTATTTTTTGAGTTGGAGTCTCACTCTATTGCCCAGGCTGAAGTGCGGTGTCACAATCATGGCTCACCGCAGCCTTGAACTCTTGGGTGCAAGCAGTCCTCCCACCCTGAGTAGCCCCTACTTCAAGTAGCTGGGACTACTACAGGCACATGCCACCATGCCTGGCTAATTTTTTTTTTGTAGAGACAAGGTTTCACTATGTTGCCTAGGTTGGTCTTGAACTCCTGGGCTCAAGCAACCTTTCTATCTCAGACTCCCAAAGTGCTGGGATTAATGGCATGAGCCACTAAACTTGGTCTACATTTATGTATTTATATATATATATATATTTTTGTGTGTGTGTGTGTGTGTGTGTGTGTGTGTGTGTGTTGGAGTCTCACTCTGTCACCCAGACTGGAGTGCAGTAGCTGCTCCTGGCCACCACAGCCTTGACCTGCTGGGCTCCAGCGATCCTTCCGCCTCAATCTTCCAAGTAGCCGGAATTACAGGCATGTGCTACCACGCCCAGCTGATTTTTTTGATTTATTGTAGAGATGAGGTCTCGCCGCCCAGGCGGGTCTCGAACCCGCGGGCTCAGGCAATCCACTCACCTCAGCCTCCCAAAGGCGCGGGATTACAGGCTGAGCCACCGAGCCTGGTTGTATTTATATATTATTTATATAAATTTATATTGCATATTATGGTTTTCAATGTGCCTTCTACCCAATTTTGATTTTCAGGAAAACCCTGTGAAGTTGTTAGGGAGAATATGATTATATTGTTTTACGTTTGAGGAAATTGAGTCTCAGAGAAATTGGCGGTTTTTGTTCAAGGTCCTTCTGGCCGTAGGTAGCAGAGATGGGTGTGAGACCTGGTGCCCTCGTCACAACAGGACACCAGCCTTCCTCCTGTGGGCTCTGTTGGTTTCTACAGTCAGGGCCTCACAGTCAGTTACCCTCATCATTGGCTGATGAACCGAAAAGCAAAAAGATACGGGCTAACTCATTCCAACAGTTTAAATCAATGGTACTTTTTAATGACAATCTCATGTAAAATTCAGTGGAGTCTAAACTACAAAGATAAATCTTTGATTAGTATGAATTTTAAAATACAACCTGTCCACAGTAACAATTAACAACAGAGATGTAGTAAGAAAAGCTAGTTTCATTTTTTTCCTACTATGGGTTTCATGGGCCCTAAAGACAGGACAGGTACATTGAAAAACAAAACAAATCAAAAACTTAACTTGTAAAAATCCTGAAAAATCCAGAAATAGGAAGAAGATGTAAAAGTTACCTGTTACCTCATTACGCTGGGATAACTTTTGTGAACATTTGAAGACACACGGTTTTCTTTTTTTGGGGAGGGGGGTCAGAGTCTCACTCTGTCGCCCAGGCTGGAGTGCAGTGGCATGCTCACGGCCACCACAGCCTCGACCTGCTGGGCTCCGGCAGTCCTTCCAAATAGCTGGAACTATAGGTACGTGCCATTATGCCTGGATAATTTTTTGATTCATTGTGGAGCTGAAGTCTTGCCACGTTGCCCAGGCTGAACCCATGGGCTCAGGCAATCCTCTCACCTCCGCCTCCCAAAGTGCTGGGATTACAGGTGTAAACCACCTTGCCTGGCTGAACATCATTTTATAATCTGTAAAATAAGGGGAAAATACTCTCTTTATAGAGTGATGATAATGATTAATAAAGTACATAAAATGTCTCAAGTTTGATACTAGGCACTTAAAAACCACTTAGAACAGTAGCTTGCACATAGGAAATATTTAGTAGAAGTTATTTACAATAATACAATTACTGACCCAAAATGAGTTGTATTGTTGCTGTGCTGATTTGTATTTTGGAATTTATTTGATATTGATGGATGAGGAAAGGCTAGGTTTTGTTGTTGTTTTTTTTTTGAGTTGGAGTCTCACTCTGTCGCCCAGACTGGAGGGCAGTGGCCGCTCCCAGCCACCGCAGCCTCGACCTGCTAGGCTCCAGCAATCCTTACACCTCAGCCTTCCAAGTAGCTGGAACTACAGGCGCACACTACCATATCTGGCTAATTTTTTTGATTTATGTAGAGATGAGGTCTCGCCAAGTTGCCCAGGCGGGTCTCGAACCTGCGGGCTCAGGCAATCCACCTGCACCTCCCAAGGTGCAGAATTACAGGCTAAGCCACCGAATCCGGGTTGGGCTATGGTTTTTTAATTTAGCAGTTGCTTCCTCAACTTTCTGCTTTCCCTTTGCAATCTTGAACCACATGTGGGGGAAAGCACTGAATTTATATCAGGATTTCAGATGAATCCTGAGCTAACTCAATGATGGTTCAATTTAAACATTTATTTGCCTTTCTCTTCAAAAAACCTGAGACTATGAGGATATAGCAATGGAATGCAGTAGTATGAGATTTATCCAGCTGTTAATATTTGTTTTGTGCATAATATGTCCCTAGATTTTATATTCATAGTAGCTGAACTTAAGCTCTCCAAATGCATCTTAATTTGGGATCCTGGTATTGTAAGCAAAATTTGTAAATGTGTATTTTTCTAAGTTAGAGTTTTCCTTAGATTTCTGAAGTGTCTATTATCCCAAATAGAAGAGATTTACTTTAAATAACTTTCTTCATCTTATTTTGAATTAGTTTTTTCCCTTTAATGCCTATTTCTTAAAGCCTTATTTCTCAACATATCATCTGTGGACCAGCAGCATTGGCATCACCCAGAAACTCATTAGAAATGGAAAATCTCAGGCCCTACCTCAGATCAATAAAGCAGAACCTGTATTTTAAAAAGATCTCCATGTCATTCTATGCACACTTAAAATTTGAGAAGTACTAGCTTTCAATAAAATCAGAGGATATAGTTAAGCAAAAAGAAAATAAAGCATGGTTACAATACTATCCAACTAGTGATTAATCTTCTTAGCATTTTGGCACTTATTTTCAAAACTGTTACAAAACTGTACTGTTTTGTAACCCTCTGTTTCACAATGCATTTGATTCCATGTCAATGTTTACATGTCAACAAATACACTTCAGCATAATTTTAAATGGCCAATTTGTATTTTATGTATATATGGATGTATTATATGACTTCATAATTTCTCTCCGGTGGTCATTTAGATCATTTTTATCTTTGTACTTGAAAAAACAGCCCTTGTCTGATGAAAATTCTTGTAAGGGGAAGCTTATTATTTCTCCGTTCAAATGCTAACAAGGGCATTTACTAGCTGTTTAACCTTAGGCAGACTACTTGATGTCTCTGCGCCTTATTTTCCTCATCTGTGTAATGGGCATTAGGAAGTCACCTACCTCGTAGAGTTGTTCTGAGGATTAAGGTGGAACATTCCTGTGAATTGTTTTTTTGTTTTTTGAGCTGGAGTCTCACTCCGTCGCCCAAGCTGGAGTGCAGTGCCCCTCTCACGGCCACCCCCCAGCGTCGACCTGCTGGGCTCCCGCGAACCTTCCGCCTCAGCCTTCCAAGCAGCCGGAGCGACAGGCGAGCGCTACCAGGCCCGGCCGATTTTTGATGTATTGGAGAGACGAGGTCTCGCCAGGTTGCCGGGTCGGTCTCGAACCGGTGCGCTCAGGCAATCCACGCGCTTCGGCCTCCCGAAGTGCCGGGATTTCAGGCTGAGCCACCGAGCCCAGCCCGTAAATATCTAAAACGGTGTCTGGCCTATGCTAAATGAGCAACGCACGTTTTCTGTAATGATTAATCGCTGTAAACATCCTGCTCTTCCCTTACAACTCTCCTTTTTATTTAGGTCATGATTATCAGTATTATTTTAGAGACGAGGTCACACGGTGTTGCCCGGTGGTCTCTAACTCCGGGGCTCAGGCGATCCTCCCGCCTCAGCCTCCCGAGCAGCTGGGAATATAGTCACGCATCACTGCGTCTGGCTAGCTTCTCCTTTTCAGGATAAGACAACTTAGGTCACGATGCAGAGGCAGGCGGAACTGAATAACTTTGGTCGCGATGCAGAGGCGGGCCGGGCTGGATTTAGGTTCTTTTTAAATCTTTCCACCCTTGCTATTGCTCGGGAATGAACGCACGGCAAGTTCGGAACCTTAAAAAAAATAAATATTCATGAAGGGGAGGGTTGACTGGTGGGAGTAAGATCCTTTCAGTGACTTTTCTCTGCTGTGACCGTCCGTAAGACAAGCAGTGTAGCAAGTGATTTCCGGAACAGAAAGGGCAAAATAGTTCTGGCTTCAATCAACCCCGAAGACAACCGACCTTCCCAGGAGGAGGGCGACGCTGACCTGTGGTTTCTATGGTTACAGATCCCGCCGGCCCAGCATCCCCGCTCTCGATACTGCGCAAGCGTAAACAACTGGTTTCGCTGCCCGGCGCCTTTGGGTTCGAAGAGTAAGCCCCGCCCTCCTCTCGCCGCCGTTGGCCTATCGCCTTCGCCCTTCGCCAATCCCTTGCGCGCTGGGGTCTGTGACGGAGTATTCGCGCGCCCGTGTCGTTTGGAGCCGCGACGCCGAACATGGCGCGTTCCTAGAAGCCGCTCTCGGCCTCAGGAGGCGGCCGCGCGTGGACTGGCAGCGTGGGGCGCGGGACCAACCGACGCTACTTCGTGTTGAGAAGTAGGAGCGGGAGGGCCGGGCAATTCCGGACCGAGCCAAACGGTGAGGCCCCGGCCCGAGAGCCACGGAGCACTCGCGAGTGGAAGGGAGTAGGTTGGGCGCCCGAAACCCGGAGGCACGGGAGGGACATGGGGCTACCGGGAGTCGAGGGCGGCCTGCAGCTTTGGCTCTCTGCGTAACCTTAGGACCCCCTGGGATGGCCAAGTCGGCCCCGGAGCGGGAAGCATGGTCGCGGAGAGATCAGGGTGCGGGGTGGGAGGGACCCTGTGCCAAAGTGAGCATAGCCGAGGGTACCCATTATGGCCCGCTAGGGTGGTGCATTTGCCCTTGGAGGATAGGTGGTGCAGATTTCGAGAGAAAGTTGTATAAAACCATTCTGCATTGCTGTTGCGCCCACGACCTTGCTGCTGATAATACCGCGAAAACTTTAAATATTAAACCCTTCCTTGCCTTTAATGAGAAAGTGAAGTAAGTTATCCTTTTTCAGAGAGGAGCTTCATCATGTGGTATGGCCGCCAATTCTCAGGCTCGGCGACTCCTGCAGCTTTATGTTTAGGGTATTTGTGATCCAGCAGTACTATTATTTTGAGGCCCGTCGCATTCGTCATTTTTCTGTATTGTTTTGTGACATGGTGGTGAATGAGAGAAATACTCCTATCTCAGAGTGATTTGACTAAATAGCACGGACCGGCAAATTGCCTACTGGTGCCAAGGTTGTTGTTGACATACCAGTTTAAACGAGCTCAGTTGTAGTGTGGTAGTGTCCTTGAGATTTGGTTATTCTTCAGAAGCAAGGAAGGAAGGTCAGTTTGCAGCCATAATTTCCCCCCCAGGATAGGAATTTCCTTCTTCCATTTTCACATTATTTCGCACTTCTCTGTTCAGTGGAGAGCCTTCAGGTTAAGGACAGGGTGACTCTACTGGACATCCATTGCATGACACCTTTTCTTGCATCTTTCATGACTGAGGAGAATTTTGGTTGAATTAGAAAAAAATTGGTTGTGATTGTACTGGGAAATTTTTTCTGCTTTAATCTAGCATGGGGAATAGTAAGAATAGTTTAACTGTAGTGGTAGTTTGTGGCCACGTATGTTAGCTCCCTGGCAGGAGAGCAGTCTCTGCCTTAGTTACACTTCCTAAAGCCGAAGAGAATTCTTATCACAAACGAATTTGGCTGTGGTAATAGGATTAAAGGTTCTAAAATATGTAAAGATAATTTGATAATTAATTTAAATCTTTAAGTTTTATGATGTTATGAATGTATTTATGTTCAGAATCAAACCAGAATGCAAAGTAATCCTTGTGGGCATGTGACAGTTAAAGTATATGGAAGATTTTTCCAGAAATAAATATATATATTTTTGCAAATAAAAAAAAATTCAAATTTTGGGTAAGGTAATGTTTGATTAGTTGAATTCTGACCTTTGTGTTGAATGCGTATATACATATGTATGTGTTTGTGCTTAATCTCACATCTAATTTAGTGTTATTTATGGTAATATTATTTGTTCCTTTCTATCTGCTTCAAATGGGGACTATGAATTCAAAGCATTTAGGGAATGGCAAGACAAATTTAGTGCAGGTGAGTCTGGAGTGTCTTTGTTTGGTTTTCTGAATATCAGGCTGATTACACATAAGCCCACAATTATAAGCTTTGTAGAGCTTCAGATGGATTAGTGTTCTACACCCTTGCTACTCAAAATGTGGTATATGGCATCACCTGAGAGTCTGTTAGAAGTATACAATCCTAGACTCAACCCAGAGTTAGTGAATCAGAGCCTGCATTTTAACAAGATATCTAGATTATAGGAATGTTCATTAAAGCTTGAGAAGCACTTCTTTGGTAAACTTTGAAGAAGTCTGAGGTAATCCAAAAACCTTCATAAAAATTATGGAATTTAATTTGAGTTGGCTTTAGGCTGATTATCCAGTGTCATTCATCAGACTGAAGAATCTGAGGCCCTGAAATGGTAACTGTCTTGTGTTAGGTTACGTGTATCTAGATTCCTAACCCAGATTCTGACTCATTCCAATGCTTTTCTTTTGCTGGTCACTGCCAGAATTCATTATGTTAAATATGGACTAACGTTCATGAACGGCAGCTAAGTGTTCATTTAATAACAGATGTCTGTTGGATATTGGGCAGGCAGTCCAACAATCCTATGTCTTTAGTATCTGTTCCTGTTTCTTATGGTGGCTATTAACTTACCACCTTCCCTTCTTACTCTTTACTAGGTATATTCTTTTCTGCTTCACAGAGGAAATGAAATACATTGATTGGGAACTTTCCTGCAAACATGTCTACCTCTGTCTGTCCATCTCTAATTATATTGAGTTTTTTTTTCCTCCTTAGGGCAGTATTTTCTCCGTATATTAGTTTGCTAGGGCTGCCATAACAAAATACAGCAGATGGGTGGATCGAATAACAGAATTTTATATTCGCACACTTCTAGAGGATGGATGTTTAAGATTAGGTTACAAATAGGGTTGATTAGCCAGGCTCGGTGGCTTAACCTGTAATCCCGCGCTTTGGGAGGCTGAGGTGAGTAGATTGCCTGAGCCCGCGGGTTTGAGACCCGCCTGGGCAACTTGGCGAGGACTCATCTCTACAATTAAAAAAAAAAAAAAAAAATTAGCCGGGTGTGGTAGCATGCACCTGTAGTTCCAGCTACCTGGAAGGTGGAGGCGGAAGGATTGCCGGAGACCAGCAGGGCTGGTCCAGTCTGGGCAACTGAGTGAGACTCCAACTCAAAAACAAAACAAAACAAACAAGCAAACAAAAACTAATAGGGTTTATTTTTTGTGAGGCCTTCATCCTCCTGCTGCCTGCCTCTTCATTTGGTCATCCCTTTGTGTGCATGAACCTCTGGTATCTCTTATAAAGACATCAGTCATATTAGATTGGGGCCCCACCCTCAAGACCTCATTTTAATTTAATCACCCCATTGAAAACTTTATCTCCAGATACTGAGGATTCTGTGGTTAGTGTTTCAACATGAATTTTGGAGGAACACAACTCAGCCCATAGCACTCAGTTATTTCTCTTTCCACTGACACTAACTTTCCAGGATTTAAGCTTGCCCAGGCTGGATTCCAGTGGAATGTTCACAGCTATTGCATTCGTAACCTGCTGAGCTAAGGTGATCCTTTTGCCTCAGCCTTCCAAGTAGCTGGAACTATAGGCACGTGACACTATGCCTGGCTAATTTTTTGATTTATTGTAGAGATGAGGTCTCGCCAAGTTGCCCAGCCTGGTTTCGAACCCCTGGGCTTCTCTTGCCTTGGCCTCCCAAAGTGCTGGGATTATAGGTGTAAGCCACCGCTCCTGGCAAGTCTCTCATTTCAAATATACTCCTTACCCTAGATTCCTCTTCAGCTTAATCTGTAATTATTTTCCTTAAGTTTCTTTTCTTTTCTTTTTTTTCTTTTCCAGGGATGACATCTTACTGTGTTGCCCAGGCTGACCTCAAATTTCTGGGCTCAAGTAATCTTCCCATTTTAGTCTCCTGAGTAGCAGGGACTGTATAGGTGTGCTCCACCTTGCCCTTTTATTTCCCTTATGTTTTTTGAAAGAATTGTTTATATTCATTTTCTTTGCCTCCTTATTCCTCTTTTTTAAGTATTTTGAAGTCTGGCAATCCATAGCTGTCACTGAATATGATTGGTTGGTAGTCATCATTGACCTCTTTGTTGCTAAATCTAGTGGAATCTTTTTAATCATTTGCCATTTTAACTACTTGTTCCCCTTGAAATTTTCTCCTTATTTCCCTCCTACATTTGGCCAGTCTTTCCTTGGTTTATCTTTCTTTTTTCTCTGACCACTTTATATGTTTGTTTCACTCCGGGGTACTATCTTCTGTTCTTTTCTCTCTCTGCTCACTCTCCTTGGATGGTCTCATCCCTGGTGACTTCAACTACTATCTCTATTTTAGTGACTCCTAAATCTCTGGTTTTTCAACTTCTAAATCTCTGGCTTTCAATTCACAGATCAATGGCTCTTGAACTCTGATACATGTGGTTGTCTTAAAATACTTTATACTATGTTAAATACACATACACACACACACAAACACACACATTCTGGCTGGGCATGGTGGCTGTAAACTTTGGAAGGACGAGATGGGAGGGTCACTTGAGGCCAGGAGTTCAAGACCAGCCTGGACAACATAGCTAGATACCATTTCTAAAAAAAATTTAAAAATTGGGCAACCCCCTCAGTTCCTCTCCTGCTCTGGGAGCTTTCCTGTCCTCTCAATAAATCCTACTTTCTCAACAACAACAACAGCAACAACAGCAAATATATATATATATATATATATATATATATATATATATTTTTTTTTTTTTTTTTTTTAATATTTTGTCCTGCCTGAAGTTGTTTCCTCCTGTGAACCATGCATACACCAACTAATTAGAGAAGGCCTAAATTGTAACTTTTTTCCCTTTTTAACTTACATGTACCCTCCCCACTCCAACTATCTAGTTATTTACCAAATCTTGTTTTACCTCTTTCAACTACTTTTTCCCTGTTATCACTTCTTAGCTGAACTTCTGTATAAACCTTCTAAATGATTTCTTTGCTTCCAAGCATGTATATCATCCCTCTCTACCTTGCTTTTTTCTGCAGGCCTGGTGTGGTGGTATTCTGTAGTCTTTTCATGTAAACCTTCAGATTAAAATCTAAATGGCCTAGTTTAAGTAATAAGGACCCTAATGATTTGGACCTTGACTGTTTTTTGTTTTCACCTTCTGCTCACATTCTGGACCACTTGCTTCATGTTCTTCTGTCATGCTAAACTATTTACAATTTTTAAAGAGTGTTAGGATGTTTTAAAAATATGAGAACTTTGCATGCCTAGAATGTACCTATCACCTGTCTGATGAGCACTCCATACCACTCATTCATTTGGATAATACCTACTCAGGTTTTAAAACTCAACTCAAACACTACCTTCTTCCCCTCTAGGAAGCTTCAGTCTCTTTTTTTTCAGTTTCATATATATTTGAGGTCTCACTGTATTGCCCAGGTTGGTCTTGAACTC